CTCTCTCTCTCTCTCTCTTTGGGGAGGACGGAAAAAAGAGGGGGAGGGGGAGGGAAGAGGGGGAAGGTTTGTAAACACAGAGATGGATTTCCCCAGTCTTCTTCTTCTTTTTGTTCTTGTTCTTGTTCTTGTTCTTGTTCTTGTTCTTCTTCTTCTTCTTCTTCTTCTCTGATTTGCCGAATTCCGCCATAACTTTCATAAGGGGTGTTTCCAACAATTTTTGACGCTATGTATGAGAACTCTTAATATGCAACAAAGTGATGTACAATTATAATTGCGAATTTTGGTGTTTGGTGTGATGACTAATATGATTTTCTGTCTTAATCCACCTGCAGTCATTGAAAGTTGGGTCGGGTCATCTTCATAAACGATTTCTGGGTTTGACGAGTTTTCTGCTGTACTTAATTTACTGAATCTGTCTCATGATGTAAATGTACACTGAGCAGTTTCGCAACAAAGAGCAACATATCCATTTTCCAAATTTGAGAAAAATGAAGATTTCTGTTCTTCACCCATTTACTGAATAAGGTTGAGTAACTTTGTTGTTTCTTTCCGAGGACGCAACGTCGGGCCCCTGACGGGATTCAAACCCACGACCTTACGGTGACCAGCCCCATAGCCTAAGCACCAGACTATCGACTTTTAAAAAAGAATCACAACTTACTTCGTTATTCATACATTTTTTCTTTTTCTTTTTGGGGTTTCTTTATCTGATAAGAAAAAAATTGACCAGTATTCTGTGAAATTAAATATACGAATTCGTGTTTCTGATTGGTGCATGATGGTTGGATATGAGCCATAAACAGTGCCGCTGATCTAATGACCGGAGACATTATGTACCCGCTAAGTCGTTATCTCTGAGTGTACTGTCAGCCTGGGCACATCATCACTCGGCTGTTCACAGTCGTTACAAACATCTACGACATCCCAGCACTATGATAAAAGTACGGCCATTGCAAGGATCAGCGGCGTGATAACTTCTAAATGGCAGAAGCAAAAGCTTAGTCATTACGAATAAACTTGGTTCGGGAATAGTTTCCGACAAAACAAGCCAAAACTAGCACTAAATGAAACGAAACAGTTGTCACTGGTATCGGACGTCCGACGGGGAACAGGGTTATTACTTCCGGACGTTCCCAGCGTCCGATGGGGTTTAAAGAGTTATCTCAGTTTGGTGTTTATTTTCTGTAGGTTAAATAGGAGCGGAGTTATTGGGGGATGTAAGGCTTAGTTGACATTGTTGTATGATGAAATCTGCTCTCCGCACATTTTTTTTTTAAAAACACAAAAACGTGGTATACTCAATACTCACATTGCTTTAATAAGGCAAAGAAAGAAACGCCCACAGACTTGTGAGGACGACAAGCGAAGTCACGTGACTTGAGGAAAGAACTTGACTGGTCAACAGATAAGTCATGTTGCGCTTTGTCAAAAAAGGTCAACCGCTTTTATTTTTTTCTTTACCCCCCCCCCCCCCTAAAAACAACAACAACAACAACAACAAATAAACAAACCATAACTATTTTTGAAAGCGTGACTTTCTGCAACCCTTTAGAGAGGCACGTTCCTCATCTTTCTAGACACGGCGTTTGTCGCGTTTGGTCGTCAAACGGACTTATATCTTGCCCTTGCCTGCTTCAAACCCGTCTGATGTTTCCCCCTTTATTCTTACTATTGTCATTGTCCAGATCTTTTGTTGATGACACCATGTACTCCGAGATTACCAATTCTCTTTTGCCTATATCTGTACTTCGCCATCCTTAAAATTACAAGGTTCTAACTGAATAGTGCCTAGTTTTGAGAAATTTGATGTAAAAAAAATTATTTCCCAACATGTCAAACTTTTTCGAATGCAATTCTTTAAATTTTAATATCTTGATAATGACTGCCAATAATCTTACAATTTTGACAGAGCAGATTCAGATAGAACATTTGGTTTCTGACCTCATTGTCTTATAACTCAAAACGGCCAATAAATATCAGAAAAAACTCTGCAATTCTCAGGTAACGACTTGCCAACCCGGGTGTATCGCTCACTAGTGGGCGTTTTGCTAATTTTGGTGGGCAGTGGGGATCATTGCGTTGGGGTGGTGACTTGCTTTATTAATTTATGACTTGCTTGGAAATGCATGTAGGCTAGATGGGCCGTATTAACATATTCGTCTCTTTAAGGTGGCAAAAATAGACGCAGGCTATAAACATGGGTGACACACGCTGTTCTATAAAATGACACCTGGTCTTGTGGTGAAGCGGTTAGGCGCTTCGCCTTCGCACGTAGAAGATCTGAGTTCGATTCCCGTGTGGAGAGAACATTAATTTTTATCGAGTATCTCTGTTTTTCTACTGACACGTTGTGTCCCTCTCAGCATGGGTTGGCCCTTACAGGCAAAGTCAAATCCCACCTCCAATATTATTATTATGATCATTGTAGTGCCGGTGGAGTCGTAAAAGCACCTAGAGGTTCGTAGTGGGTGCTCAGTTGTGGTTTGCGCATTCTTTCCTATCAAACATCTATCTTCCTTATCTTTCCTCCTTCTTTCTTTGTGTGTTACTCTCTTGCAATGCCTCTAATCTTCTGCACTTATATGACCATATTGTGTTGCAAATGCCGTAAAACTTTTACTATCACTAAAAAAAACACCTACATGTACATGTAAAACATGTGATGTTGAACCACAAACTTAGAAACAAAGTAAGTCTGTTCGTTGAACAAAGATTTAACGCCTTGAAGTAATAAATAATTCACGCAAAAATATCTCCATCGCACTCTTTGTGTTTTCAATCTTTTGTTTAGTTTTGGTTAGAGTTTCACGGCACTTCCAACACAAGTAGGTCCTATACGTGCTGACGATTAGAGGTGTTATTAGGACAGAGGAAGATAGGAATCACGTTAACATCCAAAACACCCAGCTGACAGTATGTGGACACATGCCATTTCAACTTTTATTTACACAAACACTATCTTACAACACCATTCACTACCGCCATAAAATTTAAAGCCATCTTTTCTCTCAGCTAATTGATATACATCTGTATTCATTGAATCTTTCTCTCTGTACAGAGCTATATTCTCTATTTATAACAGTTTTGTCGTCATTGATGTCAGTACACGTCAATCTCTAAAGCCTTGGTTATAGTTGCTATTATTATCAACAAGCTTATTTCATCTTTTTGGTATATGTATGACAATTGAACACTTAATGAAAAGTCAAGGATTCTGGACATTCCATCCCGAAAGAAAAACTTGATAACAATTTCAGCAATTCATTATAAATTAGGCTAACATAATATTACAATAATTATGTACCGTACGAAATACCAAACACTGTACTAGCATGCGCACATTTTTCAACTAATCACATGGCGTCGTTTTGATAAAAATGGACCAGGGAAAAAATGTGTCATTTAGTAATAACATACAAATAAAAGAATGGGGTGG